CGCAAAGACCTTTGTCATGAGAATGCTCTTCCTCCCTCATCCCATGACGCTCGCCGACCTCGACGCATGGGTCAAGCCGGAAGCCAAGCGGTTCGGTCCCTCTCTTCGTCGCTGATGTCGCACGCCACACTCGCCCGTCTAACGTTCGTCGCAGGAAGAAAGACCAGTCCCTATCCATTCTGCGAAGCCTGCACATTGTCCAGATCTCCGCCCCGTCGAAGGAGAAGCCGCAGGAGATCCAGCTCATGTCCAACTTCAAGAAGTCGCTGCGGCTGGCCCTCACCGGAGGCGGGAACCACAACTCATTTGGCGTGCCTTCATCGCTCATGGTCCCGCCCGAAATTGACCTACCGTTCCTCGATCGATACGCGCGCAAGAAGTGGGAGGACGTGCTACACTTTGTCGTGTCCAGCGTCGGTTACAAGAGCAGCCTGGGTGAAGGGTCAGGGCCGAACAAGGGCGTCAAGGAGCTCCTCATCGCAGGCCAGCTGGTCGACAGGCGACCAAACGGAAGCCTAGGCATCACTCAGGCCGGCTTCACCTTTCTGCTGCAGGAGGCAAACGCACAGGTCTGGACGCTCCTCCTGATGTGGCTGGAAGTCCTGGGCAACAACAAATCCTCGGGCCTGGACCCCGTCGACATGCTGTCGTTCCTCTTCATGCTGGCGAGCCTGGAGCTGGGGCGGGCATACGACACGAATGCGCTGACGGAAGAGCGGAGGAATATGCTTCCTTCACTTGTCGATTTCGGCCTCATCTACATCCCCCAGCATAAGCGCTCCATGTTCTTCCCGACCCGGCTAGCGACGACCCTCACGAGCGGAGGAAACAGCTTGCGAACCATTAGTGAGGGCGTCGCGGCTGCCACCCAATCGGCCCAGACGTCGCAGCAGTCGCTCGGCCTCCTGGGCGGCGGCGGCACCGGCGAGCAGGCCGGAAGCGTCGTCATCGAGACCAACTACCGCCTCTACGCATACACCCAGTCGGCCCTCCAGATCGCCGTGCTCGCCCTCTTCGCCAAGCTCAACATGCGCTTCCCCGACATGGTCGCCGGCCGCCTGTCCCGCGCGTCCATCCGCCAGGCCATCAACTTTGGCATCACCGCCGACCAGATCATCTCGTACCTCTCCGCCCACGCCCACGAGCAGATGCACCGCACCGCCGCGCTGACCAACAAGCCGGTCCTGCCCCCGACCGTCGTCGACCAGATCCGCCTGTGGCAGCTCGAGAACGAGCGGATGAAGACGACGAGCGGCTTCCTCTTCCGGGACTTTACCGACGACAAGGACTACCTCGACACGGCGCGCTTTTCGGAGGAGATTGG